CATTAGTTGTGTGACGCCTTTTTTTGTCGTACAATTTTGTGGATCCAAAAGTGTAAGATATGAGCCCACAAATTTGTGAAATAAAAAGAGGCATTACACAACTAATGTCTGTTGTGTGAGGCACACAATAAAACTTTTCGATAGAGATATAGCTTGTCAGTCAATGATTTAGATGTACATACTCTATCTGTCAAATTATTTATAATTTTTTATGAATATAAACTTAATTTAAGTATGTATTCATAGTCACGAAAGTACGGAGTTTCTATTTTGCACACATTCACTTCGGAGGCATTCAGGATTTAAGTTCTATGGATTCAAACTCACTATACTTTTTAATTTATGGGTTCATATTTACCATCTTTTAATAATTTTATTAAATTTTTATACATAAATTTATACTTCACGTCAAAAATAGTGAATTTAAATGACTCAGTACTTTCAAACTGCATCCGCCCCTAATTCAGTTAGGAGTTGTTTGATTCGTGATCTAGTATGACTATATATAGAATAAATTATTGTACTGATTATTGTTTAATTTGATGTATTATTGTCAAATATAGGTTGGTAATGCAACGTTTATTGGTAATGAAGCTATAGAGTTTAATAGCTTCATTAATTGTATGAAGATTATAATTTACATTAATAATAATATACGTAATAGACTAACTATTCTGAATGTCCCCACAAATCAAACGATTCCTCTAACTCGTGGATCGCGTGTATAAACATGACACATCTCCTGAGTACTTGGACCCCGACCCGAGAAAAGAAATAAACAACTGATGACCACATGATGAATCTAACGACGAACCCCCACCGAGATCATAACGGCGTGCGTGACTCTTCAGCAATTTCCCCTTTCCTGGATTCTAGTTTCTACTACAGCAGTACACAGTACTGTACCCAATTTTACGATAACCCCAACTTACTCTCGTCACTTGCTTTTGTCCAATCCTATTCCAACTTCCCTTCCCTCCCTCCCTCACAAATTCATATATTCTCTCTCGAATGGAAAGTAGAAGCAACTTTCAATTTCATATATTCTCTTCCTCTTTAAGTTCCCCTTTTCTTTATATACTTCTACTTCTCTCTTTCTCTTTCCATGGAGGCTGAGTCTGTGTCAGTATCATTATCTGTATCAACAACAATGGACGGTTTTAATGGGCTTTTGAGGTTAACGGGTTGTGTCAAGAATTACGATTGGGGCCGGAACGGGAAGGAATCGTGTGTTGCACGACTCTATGGGCTCAATACTGGGGGCAAAATCTATGAGGACCAGCCCTACGCTGAATTTTGGATGGGGACCCACGACTCTGGACCGTCTTATGTAGTGGAAGAAGGAAGAAGAACAACTGAGAATGGATTTGCTAATGGTGGAGAAAGAGAAAAGCTTACTTTACAAGATTGGATTGAAAAGAACCCTAGTGTTCTTGGTCAAACTGTTCTTCACAAGTGGGGTACCCACCTCCCTTTTCTCTTCAAGGTGATTTTTTTATTTTTACTGTGGAAATTGGTAAATAATGCAAATTAATTAGCAATTTATGAATCTTTGGTACTTGAACTAGATAAGGAACCTGTTTTTTTCTTTGCTCAAAGTCTTGATTTTTATTATGATATTGATCAAATAATGCAAAATAAATACTGGGGTGTCAGCAAAGTATAAATCTTTGATACTTGGACTAGATAAAGAACCAAATTTTTTCTGCTATTGATCAATTCAAGGGCTTTGCTTTATAGGTATTATCCGTTGCAAAAGCTTTGTCTATACAAGCCCATCCTGATAAGGATTTAGCCACTCTTCTGCATAAGGAGCAGCCACTTGTTTACAAGGATGACAATCATAAACCTGAGATGGCTTTGGCGTTGACCGAATTTGAGGCCTTGTGTGGCTTTACAAGTCTCGAGGTAGTTTTTTGTTTGTAAATTTGGAGTTGTTTTAGGTTTATCTAGTTTGGAGTAATGCATTATATCTGATGCTTTTAATTATCAATTCCCTGCAAAAAGTTCCAGTAGAGTTGAGCAACTTCTTTTACTGGATATATTTGGTAATTATTGGTGGCAGTCTAGACTCTAGAGGCTTGTAATGATAGAGAATTGCTCTCCAGCTTATCGGGAAAATATTCATTCTAAGAGCATGGTGGGGACTCTAAAGAGCATGGTGGGGACTCTAAGCAGACTGTAGGGTTCTATGAATTAATAAAAAATTGATGTGAGTTTTTAAATCTTGAAAGTTTGCTTTATTTGCCTTTTCCTTTTTGAGTATTATTAACTGGACCTTGTTTTTCCAACAACTGGAAAGAATAAAGTAAGGGGAAACGTCCCAATTAGCTTCTTTTTGTCTTGTATAAATAAAATATTAATTGCTTGTTCTGCTCTAGTTAGAGCATGTGTATAATAACTAACATGTGTATGTTTCATTATTCTCTTCCTGTTATATCATCTGTACTGCAAATTTTGGTAGTAGCAAGTCTATAAAGATTTAGAGGTGGGGCTTGGCCACTGGTGTAGTTCATTAGAGTACTTTATCATGTGGTTGACAAAAACCTAGTGTTTTGACTTGACTCTTGAGATGATCGAGCGGACTTACACTCCATAGCTGTTTGGAAGAAGAATTAAAAATACTAGATGTGAATTTGATGACTTTTTTCCAGGAGCTTAAAGTGATTGTTCAGACTGTGCCTGAGATTGTTGAAGTGGTTGGTGATGCGCCTGCAAAGCGAGTATTAGACTTGAACGAGGATGATGGAGAGGAGAAAGTTAAATTACTGCTCAGAAAATTATTTACGGAGATGATGTCAGCTAACAAGGATGTGATCACGGAAGTTATTGCCAAGCTGATTAGTCGTCTGAACATTAAAAATAAGGTAAAGTCTGATTGCTCCATGATTATGTGAAAGTTCAAGATTCTTTTGTTTTTCTTTTGATGTTATTTAACTCTTTTTCTGCGCTTCTACATGGTAGTGACTCATTGATGTGGCAATCTGGAAAGTTATGCTCTTCATTGTCTTAGTTAATCATTTGTGTCTTATTACACAATTCTCTACCCATCTCTCAATCTAAAAACACTATCACAATGCCTTCCCAGATTAAATTTGGATTTTTACGTGTTTGTTTGTATATTCTTGAAGAACGTGGAACTTGTCCTTACTTAACAGTTGAATTTCTATCTAAGCACTGAATTCTTCTCTTTTAGGGTAACTTATGGTCCTATCCTCAGAGTTAAAACAGATTTTTTTGGCTTTTATCCCCAAAACAGAATGTCCTGCCTATTTTCTTTTATGACGCATGCTCAGCTGATCATTGAGAAAAGCCGGCTATCAAATTAATATGTAATTGGGAACTCTGCATCTTTAACTCAAATTTTATGAAGGGTTAACTCATATACCCCATTCTTCCGGTTGTGTAACACATGGGTCATTTCTGTCTTAACCTGGAACACATAAGATATTTTTATGCAAGTGATTTGCTGAAGATTAACCACATATTTTCTTGTTTTCTCCTCAAGCATATCTGGAACTGCTGCTGTTTAAATTCATGTTGCACGTTGTTGTTTATTAAAGAAGTTGCTTACACTTAGATGTTTAGGCAGGGAAGCTGACGGACAAAGAACAACTGGTCCTAAGACTTGAGAAGCAGTATCCAGCTGATGTTGGCGTTTTAGCTGCCTTCTTGTTTAATTATGTGAAGCTCAATCCCGGTGAAGCTTTATATTTAGGGGCAAATGAACCCCATGCATATGTATATGGTGAGTGTGTCGAATGCATGGCAACCTCAGACAATGTGGTACGTGCTGGTCTAACTCCCAAGCACCGGGATGTTACAACTCTCTGTTCAATGCTCACATATAGACAGGTATCGTCAGAGCCATATTAAAGGCGCTCTTTCATTCTCCATGTTTTATTAACCTTTTTCATATAGTTTGAGACTGAAGTTCACTTGAAGGTGAATTTCCTTAAGATTGATCATAGTATAAGATCCCAAGATCCACCAAGATAGTGCTATATCCATATTCAAATCACTTGTCTCTTTGATTGAGGCATAAAAGTTCCTAAACTAACAACACTTGTGGAAAGTACTGAACAACGTTTAGAATACGGAAGGCAACAGGCTAGATGTTTGGCAAGACTGCCGAACATGCAAGTTACATGGCATTCTGTATCTCTTGATCTATGAACTAAAATTAGTGTTTTCTGTTACAGCGTTACCCTGAAATTCTGCAAGGTACGAAACTAAATCCGTTCACAATGAGATACCTCCCTCCCTTTGATGAATTTGAGGTGGATCGTTGCATTCTTCCCCAACAATCAACTGTTGTCTTTCCTTCTTCTCCTGGTCCATCCATTTTTGTGGTCATGGGAGGAGAGGGAACAATGACCACATCAGCAGAAGAGACTGTTGCTGAAGGTGATGTCCTATTTGCACCTGCAAATACTAATATTACCATTGCAACCTCCTCTGGTTTGCACTTGTATAGAGCAGGAGTAAACAGCAGATTTTTTTGAGGAATAATAGCCACGTGTGCTGGCTCATAAATATAGTGAATCTGTGTTATATTGGCTGCTCCACTTTGTAATATTAGCATGTGCAGGTATATTACCGCTTTTATTAATGTAGTGTTGTAAGCAAAAACTATCATGGGAAGGGTGGAAATTTTGCTCTACTTTCTTTGTTTCTTCATGGTCTAATTTCAACTTTTGAGAACAGAGATGGTAAGCATGAGAAAAGTACAAATGCGAGAAAAATAAATGTACTCAAGTACGCAAACTTGGACTAGGGGTGCGCAATGATTTGGTAGTCTTAAATATTGGTCATATTCTTGTGTTCCTTTCAACACTGTTTTTGGTTGTGCAAGAATCTTTGCTGATATATTGTTGATACCTGCTGCGATTCAGCCAGTGTCTGATGGACTCTGCCACTCTTACTTTTGGCTGTTTCATTCATCTCTTTCGGGCAGCAGAATAATAGCTGCACCACAGTTATGCCAATAATTCATGAAAAGAGAAGCCAAAGAAATCCTTGAATGGAATGAAAAATACTTAAGTCACAATTGAAAGTGAAAATGCATATCACTTGAGGGTGGACATTTTGGAAGCAAAGCTTATAAGCGGTACTGATCCAAAAGAGCTACAGCTGATGAACAATCAAGCGGATCAAACCGTCAATGATCTTGATCGTTGATCTGGCATCATTTGAGTCGTACTTATTCATCCCTGAGACTATTCTTTCTAAGAAAAATAATACAGAACTACTGTTTCTGTCCTGTTAGTATCTTATTGAAGAGCATCTATATCGAATAGATCTCCAAAACTGATGGTAAAAAGCACAAATTCAATCCTATTCTAAACCTCTTCAATTGTCCATCATATCATGATTGAATCACGGGCCAAGGCAGTGGTTCTCGAAACTATCCGGAAGTAACATGGGGGCAATTTCCCTTCATTATTGTGTCCCAGCTCTATTTAAGCCGTTTAACCATGATAGAATCGATTGTGCACCCTTTGTCCATGAGCAATCTAACATCATATCATGAGCAACCCCTTCAATACAGACTGTCGGGACGTCATAAAATCTTCCTGTTTCATTGAGTCCCTCTATGTCCTGAGAAAACCACATCATTCATGCGTTACTCTCGGAACACCTGAGCTATTTAAGACAACTTTTTTTTGAAATACCTGGAGATTCACAGCAATTTTTAACAAATTGGACTGTCTAAAATTGTCAAAGAACTTACCACAATGAAATCATCCGTTGCACCCACTACGAGTACTTTAAATGCAGGATCCTCGAGTCGAGGAACAGGAAGAGATGCGTTGAGCTTTCTTAGATCAAACAAAGGCATCCTTGAGCTTTCCGTCATTAACTGTTGGTAACTGGTAAAAAAGAAAAAAAAAAAAAAAAAAGAAGAAACAAATGCTGCCGTAAGAAACAATATTGTATACGCTATCCAATAAATCAAGGTATTATTCCAACTGTATATAAAAATAAACCTTCAAGATTGAGATACAAACAAGCTTACTGACATAATCTACGAACTCCATAGAACAATATGTTCACATAAACTCAATGACTTAACTTAGGGAATGCCCATTAATGGATTGTTGATAAGGAGGAATCCTCAAGCTGACAGTAGACTAGTATATGCACCAGTAACCAGGTCTTTACAAATAGACCAGGAATAACTTTAGTTCAAACTACTGATACTTGGGAAAGTGGTAGGAGTAACTCAAATGGGTAGCATGTTCAAAAACTAACTTCTTTTTGCTACTCTTTGATTGTCCAATAGTACACATAGACATCTTCAAAATTATGTCAGGCAAACATATTAATATGTTTTATAAAAGATTGTCTATTTTAACTCATTTTCTTCTTTCATTTGATATCCAAAAAAGTAATAACCATCTAAGTTATCATTGACTGACCGCACAACCAGCTGATCCTCCATTGCTGCTGAGAAAAATGTTTCTTTACAAAGAGGTAAAGAAGTTTGAAAAGCTTTGGCTGCCAGGCTCCGAGTTACCTGCTCGAAGTATCAAACTCAGCAATTTGAAAATCACAAAAACGTAGGAATTAAAAAAAGAAGAAAAATGCAGACATTTTATGCACTTAATAGGATATAACCACTTATTGATTATGCCATTGATAGTATAGAGAGAAAATTTGAAACAGGAAACAAGTTGAAGCTGAAGTGGCTTCAATAGTATATGTCAATGCCTTTGTAAATGCTAGCAAAGGCAATTACTTTGGTAGTTCATAGCTGAGATAAGTGTGTATAGGTTTCTTTCAAATTAAATATACAAACCTTGAAAGCAGCAATAGGCTTGGAAAAGAGATATCGCCATACTAAACCACTGAATAGAATAAAAGAGAAACAAGTTAATGAGTGGAAATAAAATTCGTATTGGGAGACAAGCTTCATACAGTACAGGAAGTCACCTATTACCCGAAGGGGGTACTGAGCAAATGAGCACAGCTCCAGCAAGACTGGGCAATAAGCTTTTATTTTCTGAATCAGATCCTGTAGCACCAAAAAGAAAACAAATATCTGTTTGAGTAAAAACAACCACTTTAATGAACTTTTCTTTTTGATAAGATAACCACCTTAGGGAACATTCTTTTGATAATAACCACTTTTAAGGAACATACAGATTTGCTCTCATTGATATTAGATGTCCAAGAAACAGCTAAGCAGTTAATGTGCTTTATGATACAAGTAGAGAAAGCACCTTAAATGATACTTCAGGGACCAGAAACCTAGGCCTACAATGTAACACATCAACAAACACACAAATTCAAACTCTTTTTTCATATGTGAATATTATGAGGTAAGTTCATGCGGGCACCAAGAGGGGGACAGCACGGCACAGAGCTATTCAACCTAATGACTAATGAGAGTAAACCTCAGACAATGGCTGAACCGCAGCACTAATGAGAGTAAACCTGAAGACGTATGATGTCCTAATACCATGCTGCTCTATTAATCAACTACACCTCAATTGCAAACTTGTTGGTTGTCGACTTTATGAATCCTTTATAACCATTCTGCTCGATTCAAACCCAAGTACTCTTGGAGAATTACGTATTTAACTCTTCTATATTTGATAAATGACCTTTTTTTAATACTTTGAAAAGGAAGTTTCGATGTCATTGTACAGGTCTGTGCACAATAAAGTTTCCGTAGTTTGTGTAAAGTGCATAATCTTGTATTGACCATGAAATATTTCAGAAAAATCTAGAAGCATGAAGGTGAAAGTGTAGATTCCCATGCAAAAACTCTCTTTTTAAGGGAAAGAAAACACTCACACCACTCTTTCACCTGCCTACACTGAACGGAGTTTGGATCCCCACCCTAATATCATGCTTTCTTGAAGAAGTGAAATTTAATGCGACAAACATGAAGCCACGCAACTCTGTGCGGTCCGGCAAATCTCTCACGATCTGAGTTACGTTTGACATCATATAGCCTAACTTACAACTCAACACATCTTTCCACTTAGGAATAACCTAGACTATGCTTAAACAAATTTCCTGAATGAAAGAGATAAATAGCATAATATCTGATTCTATTTTCATTTTGTTTATGGCCAAAACTAAGAGTTGCCTATATTAGCAAAATAATGTTTTGCATAAGAAGTGGTTCACCCAACAATTTCAAATGTCTCAAACCACAACTACAAGACCAAAGACTTATATCAGAAACAGACCCCCATTCTTAAGATCCTGCGTGGACCTTCTTCCGTTTGAGGACTTGAGTTAATAACATGAATAACTTTCGTTGGAACTAATCTATGAAATAACGGGTAATCCTATAAATGTAGTATGCCTTAGTTTGGAAACAATAAAGCAAACATGATTACCTTTTACTGTTTCACTTCTAATATTTGCAATGTAATACTGAACAATAAGCCCCCCAAATGAATGTCCAAGCAATACTGGTGGCAACTCGATCTCTTTGTGGATGAAGTCAGCTATATCACCTGCATGTGTCTACTGAAAGCACCAAAGTACAGAATTATAAGGCACTGAAGACCATTTCGGTAATGTACTAAGAGAAACTTGAATGAGAATGTCAGCTCAGCTCAGCTCAAGGTCATTACTCTAGTAATTTCCTACTTTCCAATTGAAACTCAACTAAAATCTCTAAACGGAGAGAAATGTCAAATACCTGGAGCGTACCTGCAACTGCTGCAGCAGGTGAATCACTTTCTCCCTGGCAATGTCAAAAAGTTAGAATTTTATTTAAGTACATTAAAGCCAGCAAGAATTTTATTTAGGTAGTTGTGAACTTCTTCCTAAATTTATCAGGTCTTTTTTCTAAGATAAACAGTAGTTGGATCGATCAACCAAACAGCAAGTAATTCAGTCGGCTAATCAGTCATCCGTATATAATTAAACATTATCTGGATATTAAAAAGAAATTAAGCAGTTAAACCTACACTAAAAAGAAAGTTAAAGCCATAATATTCATCTTATTCGGGATTCAAAATACCATGATTGAGCTACTCTATAACAGACCTAGTACTGGCAAATATATGAAAGTTTTAACCTTTTTTAGCAAAATAATCAAATTTTAAATTCTATATTCTTTAGTCCATGTAATTGCAGATGTTGAAAACATAGAGTACCTGACCCAGCAAGCTGAGAGCGTAACAATCATATCCATTTTGGGAAAAGAAAGGAAGCCAATGTTCAGCCCAGCACCAAGCTGCATGAAAGCTTCCATGAATAAAAACTAAAGGTGGGTTATAAGATCTTTTCTGTTCCTCATCTGGGTCACTGAATTGAAGTCCTTTTTGGAAGAGAACCTCCATGTTTAGTCCAGATGGGAGCTTGTGAAAATGACGGGATTGTCCCTGCTTCAGTTCATAAGGAACCGTCATTTTGTAATCTCTTGTTAGAACAGCACGAGTTCTTGTTGTTAATCTGGTTTGAGGAAATTTGGGAAGAATCAATGTACAGAGTGTAGCCATTGTTTCTCATTAGCTGCTCTGTTACTCTTTCCTCTGTCGCAGTTTATCGCTTGGAATTTTTTTGTTTCTTTATTATCCCTCGGTTTTTTTGCATCTCGCCCACCTTTACTGATTTTTCTTGATTATGTATTTCACTAAAAAATTATAACAAAAGCACCTTCCATCTTAAATTACTTGTCTAAAAAGGGTTAGCTTAATAGTCAAGAGGTTGTTAGAGGTAATGGAAAAAATAAATTAAGGATCCACGAGTCAGTAATCTGGTGGTGCACTGGTTATTACCTCCTATTCCATAGTTACGAGTGAAATGAACAAAAAATAAAGATAATTGCTCAAGATAGCGGCTAATTTTGTATAATAATAGTAAGTAAATTACATTAGGTTTTTTTGGTTTCCCACTCGGTATCTGGTACCCGCATTAAAGCCTAATTAAATTCGGATTCGCGCCGAAAAGTCCCACAAAAGCAACTCCATATCCAGGGCTCGAACCCAAAACCTCTAATTAAGTATGAATGAATACTTATCACTACACCACAACCCTTGTTAGTAAATTACATTAGCTAACCACCATTAGAAGTACTATTTAAAATGCAGTCACCATTTACAATTAAATTTTAGTCAATTCATTGCTATTATCTTCTATTGATATTATACCTGTTAATCGGGCCGGCTGGCCCGTTCACAACCCGGTTAAGCCCGGTATTGTAGGAGGTGGCGACGGGTTGGGCGGGGAGCGGGTCTTGGACGAATAAATTTTTGTAACCGGTGCACCGGAACCCGATTAGCCCGGTTACCCGTTAACGGGTTTTTACCGGGCTACAGCCCGGTCCAGCCCGGTTACCGTTACAATTTTTTTTTTAAATTTCTGGACCGTTGCCAACAGTTAAATTCAAAAATGACCGTTGGGCAACGACCCCTTTTTGCAGAAATGGCCATTTCGGCCTACCCCCTTAAGAAAATAGCCCCTCACCCTTAATAATTGATAAATTACAATTTTATCTTTTTAAAAACTATAAATAGCCCCATTCTTCATCATTTTTTCTCACAGTTTACTCTCTTACTACTCTAATTCTCTCTCAAATCTCTCTTGATAATATTGATTATTGCTCTTAAATTTCTCAATTACTTATTATTTCAAATTTCATCAAATATTTAGTTTAGCCACTATAAAATTATTATTATCAAATATCAAGTATTCAAGTGAAGTGTGGCATCAAGTATCGGTCTATCAATTGAAGTTTGATATCAAATTTAGTGCGGCATCCGGAATCCCGGTACACTCGTTCCATCTCTTTCTCTTCTTTGGTGTATATTTTTATTTTATTATTTAGAATTATTAATTTAATTTACTTAATGGATATATTAAGAGCAGCCAAAAAAGCGTGCACTAGTAGGGTGGTAGTAATAAGAGTAAAACTTCTAAAAAATCAAGAGGTGGTGTTGGTTCTTCTAGTAGCTTTACACATATTTCTGAAAGTTCACCTGAAAATTTAAATGTAGATTATGAGCGACTTCAAGAAAATTATGGTATAGATGATAATTTAGATGATATTCAATCACCTGATAATCTTGAAACACGACCAGCACACCTGGTAATGCTAGTCAAACTCAAAATATTAGGGGTGGAGGTCGTGGTAATACAAGTAGGCCTCCCCTCCCTATTAAGAGGAATTGAAGATTAAGAAGTAAGTGTTGGAATTTTTTTGAAAGACTAGATGAAGATAAAAATTATGTAAGATGTCAACTTTGTAAGGAAGTTTATAAACATGAGACCGATAAGGGAGGGGGAACGGGTCAACTTCGTAGGCACATGGTACATCACCACCCTATTGCATGGGGTACTGATGAGAAAGATGGGCAATAAAAATTTAATCCGGGTACTGGAGGTTTAACGGGAAAATACGATATTAAGAAAGAACGGGAAAAATTAGCTAAAATAATTATTTTAGGTTGTTTACCTTTTAGTTTTGTTATTTCACCATATCTTGTTACTTATATTCAAAGAATTTATAACCCTTTGTTTAAAGGCATTCCTATAAGTACTTGTAGAGCTGATATCTTTAGGCTTTTTGGACAATATTAGACATATATACTTTATTTGTTCGCCAGTCTTTCTTGTAGAGTTTCTCTTACTTCTGATATTGGCCGTGCTGTAAATGAAAATGATTATTTGATTGTTACATGCCATTGGATAGATGATAATTTTTGCATGCAAAAACGTATTATTGATTTCAAATATGATGAAAATCAAAGTCATACTGGTGCATTTATAAGTAATATTATCCATGAAGTTGTTATATTTTATAATCTTGCAGAAAATTTTTTGTGTATGTCATTTGATAATGCTTCTAACAACAATGCTGCTATTACAATATTAAAATTGCATCTACACCCACCACTTCCTGAAATATTTCATGTTAGATGTGCATGTCATATTTATAATTTAATTGTGAAGAGTGCCCTTGAATTATTTAGAGATGAGATCACTTTAGTTAGAAGAGATGTTGGTGTAATTCAAAAAAATAATAGAAGTGCTAGATTAAATGCATTTAAGGAAAAATGTGTACAATATGGACTAAAACCAACACTCATGCCTGAAGAAATAGTTACTAGGTGGAATTATACTTATTTATTCTTAAGATGTTGTTATAAATATAAAATGCCTATAACTTAAGTTGCTAATTCTCATTGTATTGATCCTAACCGTTTGTTAACATCTAGAACTTGGGATGTCATTGAAGATGTTGTAAAAAATTTACAAAATTTTTATGTGGCTACACTTGAGTTTTCTGGAGCTTATTATCCTACTATTGCAAATGGTTTAGTTCATATTGCTGAAATTTCTCTTTTACTCCATAATTGAAAAAGAAAGATATACTTCTGTTGTTGAACCTATGATAGATAAATTTAAAAAATATTTCTACCCAATTCCCTCTATTTACCTAATTGGTGCTATTTTAAACCCTTCTATCAAAATGGCCACTTGTCGCCAATTAATCACTGCTTTATATGCTTATATGGATATTGGACTGATCAAGCCCAACTATGTCTTATAAAAAGGACTAAGCGGTTATTGCAAATATAATCTGGTTTACAAGTCCGGAGTCGAATCCCACATGGAATTAACGTACTAATCACAACTTTTAGTTTTGCAAGAATCCAAGTAATCAACTTTCAAAAATATTGAATAATGAATTGAGTGTTTACTAACTAATAACAAGGTAATTAAAAATCTGTAGTTTTACCACTAGCAAAGCAAATGTTGTAGACAAGATTGGAAAGGTCTAGGGTTACGATTTTCCCTCTTATCAGAATCCTCTCTGTTACGTCTCCTATAAATTCGCCTAGATACTCTCTACCGATCATGAGCACTTTAGATTTCATAATTCTCTTCTGAACTATTACAACAATTTACTAAACGTATTCTTTCGAACTACGCTGGCTAACATTAATTTATCGCTCACTAAGATCGCACCGAGGTTTCGTTATTCCTAATCTCACCTTTAAACCCTTCGTATTGATCCCTCATATACGTTAGGAGTAGTGTTGTTCAACAACTACCTAAATATGTACCATTTTCCAAGTACATAGCCGATTGAGGCCCATCAACCACAATAATCACGTAGTTGAACACGCAGAGAAAATCCAATGGAAAATTTATATTAAACGCAATAAAAATTCATCCTGCAAGAGGTTCCATCAAACCCTAGAATAAAGAGTTTAGCTGCTCATAATTGTTTTCACAATCACAATATAATAATTCATCATTAATGATAAAAAGGGGAAGAAGAAAGATAAAAACCCGTTTCCGAATCTTCCGTCTTACTCCTTGCCTGTTCTTGCCTTAAAAGTTCTTCTAAAAACCAAGATACCCTCTTTTTGGGCGAGCTGGGCTTCATATAGGTCAAGGAAAGTCTCTTCTAGAATTACAATTTTAGCCTTGGAATAATTTTTCTCGGAAGGACGTGCGCGGCCGTGCACATGGGCAGGTGACCGCGCACTTTGGCCAATTTCTGCGTGACTTGCGCGGCCGCGCACCTGGGCAATTTTATGCACTCTTCTTCGTTCTTCTTTTTAAGTGCGCTAACCTCCTTCGATCCTCGAACGAACTCCCAATTTACTCCATAAGCTTTTACTTGGCCTTCAACACTCCATATTAGCTCAAAACGCTCCTTAACCTCATTGTAGCCCGGAATTGCTCCTGCAAAGCATTAAATACTCAATCAGAGCAATTTACTACCATTTAACACTCAAACATCAGTAAAGTGCAGCCAATTCAGAGTGCAAATAGTGGCCAAAATACATAGTTATAGCCTACTATCTATACCCCACACTTAAACCATTGCTCGTCCACGAGCAATCAAACCACACTTTACATAGACACAACCTCACTAAGCGACTTTCCTAGCTCATCACACCAAGAATATTTCAAATAGACTAAGCACGGTAGTGTAACATCTTCACCTCAAGAATTGACTCACAAGCACCACGCATTATTCACAACTTACTCACTTACTCTAACACAGATGTCAAGAATTACCTTTCCTTCATGAATCAAGTTCCCTCCCACAACAAAAGAGAATAGTTCCACAATCAATAAAATTCAAGAACAATTAGGAACTCCAAGATAGACAGAATTCACTCACACTCAGAGCCGACATTGATATGCCACAAAAGATGCACCATAGGCTTGCCCGTAGTGTACTACTCTACTAATTGAGTTCATTCAGTCAAGGATCAAGTAGGACTTTTAACTGGTTGTAATGTAGGCTGCGGGACGGGTATGATACATTTAGATATAAGAGTGACTACAGCTCCCTAAGCACTTTAATACATACACTTTAGTAGTTGAAACCCCACACTTATTTCAAACCATACTCCACCTTCAAATCAATATACTTTAACTCCCAATTATTTAAGCACCTTTTCATCAAGAGTCACCACTATTTTCACAACAATACCACTCTTACCTTTTCAATGCAGGTGACTCTTACTTCTTTTCTTTTTTTTTTAAAAATATTGCACCTTTCTCTTTATTTACTAGTTCCACTCAAAAGCCAAACCAACCATTTCACTCTTCAACTTTTACACAGTTCATAACAATTTTTAAGTGCTCATGGGAGGAAATGGTTCAAATAGATGGTCAATTCAA